TCCAGGCTCCGAGCTGTCAGCACAGAGCCTGATGCGGGACTCAAACTCATGAACCGTGAGATCATGACCTGAGCTTAAGGTGGCCGCTTAACTGACTGAGCCACCCAGGCTCCCCTGAAGGTACTGGATTTTTAAATTTTTTTTTTTTAAAGTTTATTTATTTTTGAGACAGAGAGAGACAGAGCATGAACGGGGGAGGGTCAGAGAGAGGGAGACTCAGAATCTGAAACCGGCTCCAGGCTCTGAGCTGTCAGCACAGAACCCGAGGCGGGGCTTGAACTCACTGACCATGAGATCATGACCTGAGCCGAAGTCGGCCGCTTAACTGACTGAGCCACCCAGGCGCCCCTGGATTTTTAAAAGTAAAGAACAGACCAAGGAAATTTAACTTCATGTTAACACTCACATGTGGTCGTGTTTCATAGGAGGCCAAGCTTGCAGGAGCAAAACCAAGTGCTGAAATTCAACCTCCTGGTGGCTACATTCCAGGAGCTCCACGAAGAGAGAATAGCGGTTTTCTTCATTCTCGATGTCAGCTATGTCCACCTGTGTGGAAATACACACTTGACACTGGTGGCAAAGGCTACTTCACTGGTTTACAGAAGAATTCGTATTTGATGACTTTGAGGAAACATTCTCGAAAACTTTTACAATGTGTTGGGACGTAAGATTCAACACCACCACCCTCACCTCCTCCCTACCGCCCCACCACCCGCAAATAAAACCTTCAAAAGCTCTCTCCTTTACCCAGCTTAAAACGTTAGAACAAATCACAGGAAAGTTCTGAACGTTCCTTACGAAAATAAATTTAAACAAGTAGATTTCCAGAGAGCTGGCTTAGTGATTTCCTAATATACGTTAAGTTAAAATACAGAATTATTTTATATGAAACTATAATAATTCGTCTAACTTAACATTAGCCAATTTTTTTAGTTTAAATTATCCTCCATGTACTTCTACTTTTCATTTTAGCATTTTTTTATTGCTGAGTCTTCATGTTGTGTAGAAAATTTCTCTAGACTTGACTAAATTGTATTTGTTATGATTTTTGTTACACATCAAAATAAAGCAAAATATCTTTTATTTGAATCTCCATTTCTGATGCAGAAGAAGTCCTGATCAGTAAAAAACACTAATTTTTCCTCTCATCGCATAACTGAATATTTCCTTTATTTACACTGAGGCAGTCCTGAAATGAATCACATCTCCAACACCTCTGTGGATGAAAATGTTTGCTATGTTAAGTTAGAAAGCAGTTTTAAATATAAAAGTAAGCCAAAAGCTGGTTTGCCTGTTCCCTAGCCTCTCTTAACACAGATGCCCCGCATTCGAGTACATTAGATACAGATGATGATAGAGGCCTTGAAAGGATAAAAGAATGGATGGTTACCTACACATTTGTTAAATTTTCTGTACAAATACATATTTCCAAAGCATTTAATTTAATGGTCATTCTGGCTCTGGTCCCAAGTAGCCACCTGAAAAGTCACAGCATATAGTCTGCATTCTCACAAAAGCTGACATGTACTATGAAATGTTCAGTAATTATAGGGGAAGTCCTGCTCACATGGTGACCTGGCAGATCAAAACCTGCTTGAAAGCTCCACGTCCTTCTTCCATGGACTAATAACCCAAAAGCATTTTACAGTTTGGGAAATCATTTCATGACCCAGGAAGAGTTCACCCTTATAACTGTTTTGGGTGGAGAACAGCACAGGTGTTATTAGCCCCCCTTTATAGATGCAGAAACAGGTTTATCTGTCCCAATAACAAGGCGAGCAAGTGGCAGAGCCAGTAGGTAATTATGATCATATCAGAATGTTCTGGAATTAGAGGACTCAATAAGCTAGACAAGCCCTGAAATATTTAAATAGGGGGTCTAATTGGGAGTTAGGCAACATTTTCTCACCTATTTATACAGAAATGTTTAAAAAAATTCCAAACTGAAGAAATCCACCTGTTTTTCACCTGACCTCCCACCTTCAACTCCTCTCCAGGCTCAGGGTCTCTCAGATCGTCCGCATCCACCATGTGCACCTCCCCTCGGGAACTTTGATCTTGTTTTCTCTGCCTGCCACATTCTCTCTGCGGATGTCTGTATGGTGCATTCGCTTATTTCCTTCAAATTCCTCAAATGTCACCTCATCAGGGAACGTGCTGTGTAACTGTCCACCTTAAGTAGCATATTCCCCCACACCATCTGTCTCCCTCACCTTGTTTTGCACTTACAAGGATGGGACATGTTTCATATGTATTGGTTGATTGCCTTTCTTCCTCTATAAGAATGGAAGCTCCTTGAAAACAGAGACTTTCACTTATTTGTTCACTGGTTTATCCCTACTCCTTAAAATAATGCCTGACAGACAGCAGATGCAGAATACTATTGAGTGTATGAACTAATGCGTATACAAATGAATAAATGAAGACAATCCATCATTTATAAAATATTTTAGCACAGAATGGTGATACTAAATATTCATGAGTTGCCGTAAAGTTTTGGCTCTTCTCTCTCTCTTTTTTTTTTTTTTTTTTTACTGGAGACAGACATGAGGCTTAAAACGAAGATGCCAGTGAGAAGGGAATCACTAAACATGACTCAAAGGAGGCCCGCGTATGGACATGATGTCTCCACCAACAATGCCCTGTGGCTAGTTGTGTGATTTCAGTGCAGTCCCTCTCTTTGGGTCCTATTTTCCTCATTTCAAAAATGTACTCCAAGAAGCCCTGAAGTTTCAGAAGATCTGAGGAGGTGCCTGAAGGTCTGCGGGAGGGAAAAGGGCAGGTAAATGGCAGCTCTTGTCGGAGTTACAATCCAAGCTTTTATAGCTTATTTGTAGGAAAGGTTTTGTGGGTTTTTAAAAATGTTTATTTTTGAGAGAGCGCGCGCGCACACATGTGCAAGCGAGCGGGGGAGGGGCAAAGAGAGAGGGAGAGACAGAATCCCAACCAGGCTCCACGCTGTCAGCACAGAGCCCCACGTGGGGACTGAACTCATGAACCATGAGATAATGACCTGGGCCAAAGTCGGATGCTTAACCGACTGAGCCACCCAGGCAACCCATGGGTTTTGCATTTTAAAAATAGTTAAAAACAACTGAATGATGCCTCTGGTGTCAGTCCTCCAGTTTCCATAATTAACGACTGTATGATGAATAACAAGTAGTTGCTCCTTGACATGAAAGGCAGAGTCTACATAGGTTTCCTGAGGACACCACGAAAAGGAAGAGATTAGGAAAAAGTGATTCTTGCTTCCAAGATCACTTAGATTTTTTAAAATATTTTTTGAGAGAGAAGGAGAGAAAAAGAGAGAGAGAGAGAATCCCAAGCAGGATCTATGTTGTCAGTGCAGAGCCTGATGCAGGGCTTCATCTCCTGAAACATGAGATCATGACCTGAGTTGAAATCAAGAGGCAGACGCTTAACCGATTGAGCCACCCAGGTGTCCCAAGATCATTTAGATTTATTTTCAGAAACTGTAACAGCCTGTAAATTTTTAGGAAGTGTAGTGTATCTAAAAGGAGAGAAAGATTTTTAAAAAACTATAAATTAGGGGTGCCTGGGTGGCTCAGTCAGTTATTTGGCTCAGGTCATGATCTCGTGGTTCATGAGTTCAAGCCCCATGTCAGGCTCTGTGCTGACAGCTCAGAGCCTGAAGCCTGCTTCAGTTTCTGTGTCTCCCTCTCTCTCTGCCCCTCCCCCCTCTCAAAAATAAATAGACATTAACAATTAATAAATAAATAAAAATAAAAAAACTATAAATTAAACCTTCATATGTTTGTTTTTCTTTAGTGTTAAATAATAGTTTCCATTTTTAACACATGTTTGGTAATGAGTTTCTTTGTATAACACCTTTTTCTTGTATACACAGACTTTATAAAAGTGTGCCTTTGTCAGGAAACATTTTCTTCTGAAAGTTCATTAACATTTCAATTATTAGCAACTTAATTTTCAGAGCATTGACCTCATGTTTAAAATACAAATGTGAAAAACATAGAAACTTACACAATTATCCATTTTGTGTAGGCACATTTGTATACTCCCTCACATCATGAAGGGTTTCAATTTTTAAGCTGCTCAGCTCTTAAGAAAGCAGTTTTAGGGGCACCTGGGTGGCTCAGTCAGTTGAGCACCTGACTCTTGATTTTGCCTCATGTCATGACCTCACGGTTCATGGGATGGAGCCCCATGTCGGGCTCTGTGCTAATAGCAGGGAACCTGCTTGGGATTCTCTCTCTCCCTCTCTCTCTCTCTCTCTGCCCTTCTCCTGATCACACTCTCTTTCTGTCTCTCTCAAAATAAATAAATAAACAAACATTTAAACAAACAAACAAAAAAAGATTGAGGCACCTGTGTGGCTCAGTTGGTTAAGCATCTGACTTTAGCTCAGGTCATGATCTCATGGCTTGTGAATTCGAGTCCCGCTTTGGGCTCTGTGCTGACAAGCTGGAAGCCTACAGCCTGCTTCAGATTGTGTCTCCCTCTCTCTCTGCCTCTCCCTGACTTGTGCTCTGTCTCTCAAAAATAAACATTAAAAAAAATAAATTTTAAATAAATTTAAAAAAAGCAGTTTTAAATTATCTACCACTGTAGCTGCAAAAGCTTCACCTTACATGAGAGAAGAAAATGGGCCTGAAAATGGACTCGAGTGCATGTTTTTTTAACATGAGAAAGAATATGCCTTGCCAGATAATCAGTACACACAGTAAAACCTTAGATTATGAGTAACTTGTTCTGTGAGTGTTCTGCATGACAAACAAACCTTTCTAATAAATTTTAACTTGATAAACGAGCAATGTCTTGCAATATGAGTAGTGTATGACAACAAATGTCATATGATCACCAACTGAGCCAATGTTTCTCCCTCTCCCCCTGCCTCTCTCGCTGTGGGACTGTGGGTGATCATCAATGCAATGTCACATTTCTGCCCAATCTTCAAAAGGAGGCAAAAGCAAGTGTCATTGGCTAGGTTCCTTGTTCAAGTTGCACTAAAAGGAAAAGATTCCACTGAGCGATAGATAGCAGTGATTCCATTAGTGATAGTGAAAGTCGTGCTACACAATAACCCTCTTCTCTCGTCTCCCTCATACCAGCCACGAAGGCTTTCAAAGGTAAGTGCAGGTTCATTTGTTTATTTTTCTTTATATTTTGTATTTTCTTTATTATTTTGTATTGTATTACAGTATTGTAGTCATTTTCATATGAGTATTTTTGGGTTGTGGAACGAATCATCTGAGTTTCCATTATTTCTTGTGGGAGAATTTGCTTTGATATACAAGTACTTTGGATTACAAGAATGCTTCTGGAACAAATTATGCTTGCAAAACCAAGGTTTTACTGTACTTTGATTTACAAGTACTAACCTAGGATTTGTGTCTATCTATTAAAATATCTAAATTGATCTAAATTTACCAAGATAACATAAGCTTATCTTGTTTATCATATCCTATAAGATTTTAAACATAAATTCAGGTAACCAAAACAAAATGAATTTTTGTATAAAGAAATATACACATATGCAAAGGACTTCCAGCCTGAACAAAATGGCTTTGACCCATTTTTCCCTACTCCTCTCTTAAGCACAACTATAAACTTTGGAAATAATGAGAGAAAACAAAAGAACTTTTAAAGGTGGTAAAAAGAAAGTTAACTAGTTGGGACCCGAGGACTGGAGAAACAACACAGGTCCAGGGTCTGGCATCCCCTCACCCAACCGAAGGATACTCAGACTCAGTATTTCCTGACTCCTGATCGAAAAATACAAGACAGGCCAGGTGAGGTCATTTCTTGTCAGAGTTCCAGAAGGAAGGGAGAAAGAACGTGGAGTTTAAAGAGTATTTTATGAAGTAACATTTAAAAACATCCCAAATCTGGTGGAAGACATTAACCTACAGATTCAAGATGAGCTAACCCCAAACAGGGGTTAGTGAGTCCAAAGAAATCCATGCCCGGACACATCATAATTAAACTCTTAAAAATTAAAGACAAAAAAAAAAAAAAAAAATCTTGAAAGTGGCCAGAGAGAGAATACAGTACCTATAGAGAGAAAAGCAATTTTAATAACAGTGTATTGCTTATGTGAAGCCACAGAGGCCAGAAAGAACTGGCCCGATATTTCTCAAGTATTAAAAGAACTGTCAATTACAAATTCTATATACAGTAAAACTATCCTTTAGGAAAAAAAGGGGAAATGAAATTATTCTCAGGGAAGGAAAACTAAAAGAATCTGTCACAAACAGCCTTCATCTTAAAGACTGGCTAACGAAACTTCTTCAAATAGAAAGGACATGGGTTTTGGCCCAATATATTTTTCTATCACAACTAGTAACGCTCCTCATTAATGGCTGCAAAAATTAAACAATCTTAAATTGAAGAAAATCACTGTGTCATATATCTGACAAATTATCTGGAAAAACAAAAGAGGGAAGTATTGTTTTGCGTCAGTAAAAGAGAAAGCAATGGGTCTCAGAACCTGCAGAAGTCATGGGAACATGAGATCAACATTAATACCACAGGAATTTAAATTCTCCAAAATACGTGGACACAAGGTGTCGCGTGAACATGAATGCAGACCTAGGAAACAGATTCTCTCTTTTCCAGAGGGTAGCACAGTTCCTATTCAAATATGTATTCCCAGATCCTAAATACACTTCAGGCAAGGGTGAGCAAGCAATACAGTATCTAAACAGCTACAAGATGAAATGGCCATAGAACATATTTTAACATAGAGGGAAAACCAACTGGAGGTGGCTAGCAAATGCTTCCTCACACCTCACCAAGGAGACTGTAAAATAATGATAAAGGACAATTTGGTGAAACACGCGGCTTTCAAAATAGTGCTGATAAAGTCAAAGTAACATGGAAAGACGCCATACTTTGGAGGTGTTGCTGGACCTTTCTGACCTTAAGTGCCTCTTCTGTAAGATGAAGGTAACATAGTGCATGATAGTTCTGGTTATTAAATAAGAGAGTGTGAATAAAATAGGCTGCAGAAAGACTGGCCCATGGTAGGCACATAATAAATGACAGGTATGATTTATATTACAGCTCCATATAAAAATATGGGCTGTGATTTCTTCTAATAAGAATTGGGTCAACAGATTAGATGGGACAGGAGAAGGACACAAAGAAATGTGGCTGTTTTGGGATAACAGAATCATGGGTTAACTTTCATCCCTTTTTAGAATCTCATTTATTTGTACAATATAGGATTTGCAATGGCTTTATAGCATGCTTTCTAGAGATGAGTGAAAATAATTAGCAATTTCTCACAAGTTTTTCTTCTATGTTTTGTTTGATTTTATCCTTTTTTCCCCTCAAGAGAGAAAGTAATAATATGCCTCTGTCTCTCTGAGTGAGCGGGGGGTGGGGGGTGGTGGTGAAAATGTCCAATATTTCACAGGCACCCTATAGTTCGCGATGATTCCATACAGACACCTCGAACTGAACATTACTGGATTTTAAAGGCAAAATTCACATGTGAGTCAAACATAAAGATATCTCTTTCCCTTTTGTCTCTGAAAGCGATGCTTCTGTCTTCACTGAATTAGGTGACTTTAGCCCTTGCTGTAAGTCAATTTGTCAAGTAGCTACAGCCTCCTTATCAGACATTGAGTCACTGTCCTTGAAAAAGTGGACCGAGTCACCTATTCTCAGATGAAAACAGCTTTAACTTGAAATTCCTCTGTGGCCGCGGACAGTGAACATGACTGTCGTAAACTGAGGCGCCCCTCCTGAAATCTGCATCTTCCCACAGGCACGGACAACGTGGCTTGTTTGATCTTCAGATATGTGTGAATATGAAATCAGTATTAACGCACATAACCATACTATGTGAACAGAAAATAATTAGCGTCACGTAAAGGATTATTCTCAATGTACTAACATCAATCACCACAGTCCTACCTTCCATGTGGGCTGATGAGCTGTTCCACTGCCTCTACGATTTATGAAATTTTGGGGGTAAATCTGAAATTATTTCAAAACTAAAAGTTAAAAGAAACAAACGAGAGAAGTCGTCCCCAGCTACCTCATATCCTCACCACCCTGCAAGATGCAAACGCTGGGATGTTTCCTGCCTCTCCTCCCCTTCGTCCTCCAACCTTTCTCTCTAAGCCCGACAAGGAAGGAAGGGACAGCACTGCTATGCACGACGTCGGGAGCACCACCCGTGTGGCGAAGAAGGTTCTTGCACCTCTGGGCAGGAGGCTCTGGATGGGATTCCCCCTCTAGGGACAGAGCCCAAGAGGCTCCCCTGCTGACCTGGCCCTGGGGGAAGTGCCCCGGGGGTGGAGGAGGCAGTCCCACCCAGGAGCGGTTGCTAAACCCGAGTGTGCGTCCCAGGAAGAGGTTGCTGTGACCCAGGAAACGTACAAGGCTCTGAAGAAGGTCTGCCTAGTGAAGGGGAGAAGCAGGGCCTCCCCATCTGACCACACCGCCCCCCGCCCCCCAAAAGCGTCCTTTTGAGTGAAAACACAGCCCTGACCTCCAGTGTCTTTCTCCACAAAACTAGTTTGTCCTCTGCTCTTTCCTCATGCTGCTCTGTCTTTAGCAACTTAAGCAAACCTCAGAGGGGCACTAAATGTGTTTCTTGTCCCCCCACGTCTAAGCAGTCACCGGGCCCCTGGGATTAACTCCTTCAGCTCTCTTTACCCTCCTCTATCTTCACAGCTGGTACCAAGTTCAGGGCCAAGTTTGGGCAACCTGACCCCTGCTTTTGTCCCCTGCCTGGCACCCTCCAGTCTGTTGTTCGTGAAGAGCTCAGAGGGTCTCTCCTAAAAACGCATCTCTGATCACGCTGCTTCTCACGTCTCTCTCTCTCTCCCACGCGGTCTCCGCACCACCACGGTAAAATGTGCACAGGACACTGGGGGCTCTGCTGCGCTGAACTGAGTTCGCGAATCACCTCCTCAGAGCAGTCTCTTCCCACTGCCTCCAGGCAGGACGACTGCATGCCCTGCCCTGAACCCTATGCACTGTGCAGACTCTTAACAGCAGCGTTAGAGCCTTCGGGGTACGGACTTCTTTGTGCATGTATCTACGTGCTCCGCTGGATTGGGATCCCCACACGAACGGCGTACATTTACCTGGACCGGAGTTAGAGACACACACATACCATGCCATTTAGTCTTCACACATCCACGCATTATGTCCGTTTTACAGACGAGGAAACTGAGGTTGTGAGAGGTTTAGTAACTTCTCCAAGGCCACAGAGCGAGTGAGTGGTAAAACTGGGATCTGAATGCAGTTTTGTGTGAAGCGCCCAAACGCTTTACTGCTAACTGTCTGGTCTCTTGTCTATCCCCAGAGTATACAGGGAATGGTGCGTAAACCATGCCAGAAGAATCTTCGGTGAATATTTCACAGACCACGGTTACTAGGCATGGCATTTTTCAGCATGTTTTAATTGAGCAGCAAAGAACATACGCAGTGCTCTGTACTGAGCCAGGGAAAAATGCTACTAGATGAAGCAGTGCTTTCTGTTTTCTGAATCAAGCTCCTCATTCCCCTTGCCTAGTCACACTCAACCCAGGCAGTCACAAGCAGAAAGACAAGATGAACAGAACACGCGTGACATGGTGCAATGCTACCCAGACGTTAGAGCTGAGGATCTTTCCCTGGCAGATGGGAAGAAGTGCAGTAAAGGGCCAAGAAGACAGGCATTGACATCAGACAGAACCAGGTTCAAACTCCAGTACGATCGTTCACAAGCTGGGTGACCTTAATAGGTTACGTGACCTCATCTCAAACAGAGACTGGTAACGACTTTGCAAGCTGTTCTAAAGAGTACACGCAGTAATGTGCACTTAATACACATTCCTCAGTCCCATCTTCTTCCCTCGACGATGCCCATGACAAGAAGGAATATCTTTAAAGGAAAGGAGCCCTAAGTCATCAAGAGAGGCCTTCTGAGGTGTCCAAATAGTTGCAGAACCCAGTAACACTGACGCTCTCTCAACCTGAAAAGGCACATCAAGCTCTATTAGAACATTTCAGATCTCTTGCTTCTGTCCAGACAAACATGCTTGTGAATCATTTGCTTCCATACGAGAAGCAGCCGGCTGGTCAGAAATCACTGGGAGCAAAGTACAGCAAATTAATACAAAACAGTATCAGTCTAAAAGCACCAGGCCACTCTGTAAGGAAACCTTTCCATTATTCCAAGGAAATCATTTTGCTTGTACACAAGCGGGAAGCAGCATGGTCTGAGCCTTCATCATTCACGGCAAGAACAGCAGATTGAAGCTCAGGGGTCCTGGCCTTGCCATTTTAAAGGCGACCTTAGATAAGTTTTTAAAAATTGAGGGGCGCCTGGGTGGCGCAGTCGGTTAAGCGTCCGACTTCAGCCAGGTCACGATCTCGCGGTCCGGGAGTTCAAGCCCTGCATCGGGCTCTGGGCTGATGGCTCAGAGCCTGGAGCCTGTTTCCGATTCTGTGTCTCCCTCTCTCTCTGCCCCTCCCCCGTTCATGCTCTGTCTCTCTCTATCCCAAAAAAATAAACAAACGTTAAAAAAAAAATTAAAAAAAAATAAAATAAAAATTGAATATTCATTTATTCAGGAGATATTTACTGAGTGTCCTTAAGATCCATGTTCTCATGTTATTTATATTCTAATGGAAGAAGAAAGACATCATATAATAGAATGACAGACAGAAGGACAGGCAGGGAGAAGTGAGCAGATACTGGTGATCAGAAGAAAACTCAGAGGTTGTGAAATTGATCGTGACTGGGGCCTGATTTAGGATGCAGTATTTTAGAAATGGTGACATTTAAGCTAAAATCAGAGGAAGTAACTTCTTGTTTCTGGACAGCATGTCCTTTTCTATAAAATGTGACTTTGGAATTGGCATGCTGCTGAAAGTCTCCTCTGGTTCCAGGAATCGGTTTCCATGGCTAGCAAAGCTATATTACATGTACGGGTAATTCACATGTGTGGGATATATTATATGTGTGTGGGCACACAGGCACATATATTTTTAACATCAAATCTTATCCTATACTTGATTAAGCAAACCATTTAGGGCAGGGAGTCTTAGCTTTGAAGACATTTAAGGTGACAGTAAATTCTTTGTAAGAAACTAAATCTAGCTTTGCATCCTGAAGCTGTTCCACTGGTCTTGGTCTGATAAAGAAGTGTGTATTTTGGGGCGCCTGGGTGGCGCAGTCGGTTAAGCGTCCGACTTCAGCCAGGTCACGATCTCGCGGACCGTGAGTTCGAGCCCCGCGTCAGGCTCTGGGCTGATGGCTCAGAGCCTGGAGCCTGTTTCGGATTCTGTGTCTCCCTCTCTCTCTGCCCCTCCCCCGTTCATGCTCTGTCTCTCTCTGTCCCAAAAATAAATTAAAAAAAAGTTGAAAAAAAAAAATTAAAAAAAAAAAAAAAAAAAAGAAGTGTGTATTTTGTTAATGTTTTGGCAAAACGAAGCCAAACTGGCCTTTGACCAGAGGAGTTAATATGTCCTTGCATGTTTCAAAGTAGGCAAAATGCATGAATTTGCAATAAGATTAGGAGTTTCCTTAAACTAATTTTTCTAGTGATCACTTACAGCCACAAATGCAGACAGATCGAAATTTTAAAAGGTGAAACTCTAAGCCACATGTCCCTTTTTATACAAAAACAGAAAAAACAATAAGGTGAAGGGGTATGGAATCTTTTAAGGAAACATCAGTATTTTGACCCATATTTTTCATGCACCAGTTAACCAGAAAATTACAAAACCTGAAAAACTCAGATAAATTATTCCAAGGGAATTAATACAATACATTCCTCCCTTCCCCCTCAAGTCTTCCCCCTTCCTTCTCTCCTGTACTCCATGCTGGGGTACTCTTCTGGAATGGAAAAGGAGGCCTCTCAAGCTGTTGAAAAATGAGGGCCTCTGAATTTTTAATTCTGTTAACTAATCATTAGAAAACTAGGAATTGCTGTCTCTCTGAGAACCAGGGAGGTAGCAGGCTCCACAGACTCTGCGTTTAATTTTGCAGGAGCTGGCTGGTTTCCCGGCAACACATTGATTTGTAGGGCCACTACTTTGGGCACCTCGAGGATAATTAAATATTAAGTCCCTCTTTGATGTATGCAAAGTCTGCCTAAGAGGATTACCAGCCACAGCGAAGGTAGCAGTCCTCCATTTTCTGGTAATTGAACGTTGCAATATCATTATCTATTCTTATCTTTGCTCTGTAAGAATCTGCCTCTACCCTTAATATTACCTTTGAGAGCAGAGAAAGGGGTAGGGAGTGGAGAAAACGAGAGCCTGTGTAATCAACATTTTGGGGTCTTCTAGGTGTTTGGGATATGGAGATGAAGAAGACTCTAATGTGTGTGGAAGAAAGAAGAGTGAGCAAACCATCCTCTGCCTCCTCCAGCTCAAGGTTCCATTTTGCACACCAAGAAGGCAAGGCTCACGGTTTAGGAATCTTTTCCAAGATGATGAAGCAATGGAGGTGGGAGGGTGGCCAAGATAATAGGCTTCTGAAGGATTTGTGCACCAGCACCCTGATCTTTCTACTGTTCGAGTGAAACGTAAAACAGTTTTTTAAAAACAATAATGGAGACGGCTTCAGATTTGAACTAGGAGCGTAATTCTGTAACACTCTACAAGTTGCGGCCATTCCCACTGTGAAGCCACAATTTTTCCACATTCGCTTTCCATGTAGCAGTTATTTACAATAATAAACAGAGTGCCCTGGCCAAATACGCTTGCCCTCCAAAACAGATTTCACACAGCAATGCCAGACTGACACAGAATACTTAATTTTTATAGGAGGAGGAGATACTCACCGATTTGGTTTATTTTGGAAGCATATAGATGAATGACATAATTAAACTATGGGAGTTTTGTTATTTCCACTACCAAATACTTTAAAGAAGCTCAGCTCAATAGCTTCAAAGAACAGGGAAATTGCTCTTGTATGAGGACAAAGTAAGAGGGGGAGAACCGAAAAGGGGTAAGGAGGCACGGGACGAGTTTTACTGGAGTCAGGGGTGTTGGGAGAGAGGTTTTCTAAGGGCCTGAAAAAGTTTTCGCCACCAGAGCAAACAGTGGTGAAATGAGACTGTTCGTACACACCGTGCAAAGGACAGAAACCAGACTGCGCTCAGTGAAATGGTCAGGTCAATTTAGAAAAGTACACGGAAAAGGAATCTTAACAAAAGGCTGAGCTCCCTTAAATCCTGTATTTGGAAAAAGTTTTGCTATAAAGAAATTAAAATCTCAGAAATATCCAGAAATCACTGAAATCATATAAAAGATGGTATACCTTTTATACCTTGTTCTCTGGGTAACTGCAAAGTTAAGAAAAGCTTAAAAGAAGAAATCATGGTTATACTCCTACTATTTCTGAAGCATTTTGGCCCAAATATGAAAGTGTGTGTTCTACTGTTTCAACATGACAGGTAAGATAGATGTTTTCCCTTTCCCTGGCCTCCACGTTGTTTGGTAGTATTTTTGGTATATTGATCTGACATAACTCGAAGTGAGGCTCCAACCGGAGAAACCGGCCTCATCGTTCTGCCAGGCTTCAGCCAACAGCGAAGACGAAACTGAGCAAGGTTGAGCACTTGAAAAATGGAGGTTCTGTCGGAAAAGTACCTAACAGTAGGGGCGTTCATTTGTTTCAGAATGAGTCAGAATCCAAGATTCCACGTGGCAAAAATAATATGACCTAATTTTTAACTCAAGAGATGCTACATGAACCTTCCTGTCACTAAAAACAAGCATACTTCTAACGTCTACTGTGCCGGAGACCTGGAATATATTTTGTAGCCTATTGCATCTGTGTTCATAGACCACTCTTTAGAAAGACTGTTAGTGATCCCTTCATGTAATGCAAGGCAACATGTTGAGACTAAGTATGTTGGTAAGGTCATGGGGCTTCAGAAAGAGTATTATTCAGATACCAGTGACTTTTAATACAACCCATTTCAGGAATTTGGCAAGATTAAGAGAATACCTGATAACCCATCTCTTCTGAATCTCAAATTCTCTATTTCTAAAGAATACATAAGAGTAATTACCCATTTCTCTCATGTAGGAAAATAAGAATACTTAAAATAATAATTGTGAAGTTCTGAGATGAGTCTCAAGATATTCTTAATATCTGATGCATTTTTTAAAAGAAAAATTCATTGTTCTTTCGATGTAGTAATAAGGACATAAACATTAATTAGAAAGCGAAGCTTTAAAATTAGAAGGTACATTGAGTTGCAGTCAGACTTCCAGGAAAGTCCCTTGCAGAGTAGATTATGTGGGAAGCCTTATTTTTTTGGCATATGGTCTGCAGGCTGACGCACTTGACTGAGATTACTGATCCTTACATCCTATGTCTTTAGGCTGCATCAATTTAGAGTTTGAGCCAAACTTCAATGGCTACCGTATTTCTTTGATTTAGGAATCAGTATTCTCATTTACTCAATCAACAAGTATTTGAGCTCCAAATGTGTGCCCAGCATACTTAGGGGAATTCAAAAGACAATATATCCTCCAGGGCTTCTGAATTTTCCACAGTAGTGGGGAGACAAGACAATAATAGTAACAACAATAATAATTATTATATTATAATTATAATTATTATATAATAATTATACACATAATTATATATTTATAATCAAAATATATATAATTATATATAATAATAATAATAATTATTATTATATAGCTAAAGCTCAAATGTGTGGAATTCAAAGTTTAATTAAGTTTGAAGTGGTCAGGGAAGGTTCCAGAGAGATGGCAGACCAAGTGAGTCTTGAAGGATGAGTGGAGAAACTAAGATCTTGTGTGTGCCTATGTTGTCGATATAGGGACAGAAGAGAGAGGAGGGCACCTGCCTGCCTGGGTAGAGTATGAAAAAAGTGAATTAGCTAAACTGCACACTGAATTTCCATTTAGATCCGCATTTCTCCAGGGACAGGGAGAGTTGCGATAATTAACGGATACTGTCAAGAATCCTGACTATATCCTCTGAAGAGAAAAATGCCACACACATGTGAAGTGAATGAGACATCACTCCAGCACCTATGCACGTTCAAACACATGGAAAAATCCAAACCAATTCAATCCAATCCAATCCAATCCAATCCAATCCAATCCAATCCCATCCAAACGTATTTAACTACTAAACAGCTGGACTGAGGAACACAGTAGAAAGTCTGCATTACCAAGCTGATTATTCACTGGAGGGTGGTTTAAAGTAATCGAGAAATAACCTCCAATTATTTTTAATAGGGAAAGCATGCAAAAACCAGTCGGACGCTCCCTTACCTGTCTCTGGGGCCAAGCAGCTTTGAGAATGGCTTCCGTTCGAAAGAACACAAGGAGCTTGCCATCTTCCTCAGTCAGGTTAAATGACTGTCCCAAAATCTGCAGCACCTGAATGCGGGGCCTCACGGGCCAGGTGTCGTCAGCACAGAAAGGCCGCAGCCACACCAGCAGGTCCTCAGAGGAAACCAGGTCTTCCCTGAAGGGCAAAACCAAGGGTTAGGCAGAAACTCCTAAACCTTCTTTAAAAAAAATTCCAGTAACCCAATATAGTGATTGAGCCAAAGACTTGTTTGTTGGGTGAGCTTGCCTTTTTCCTATTGAGAAGAGAAATTGAGGTTCTTTTTTTCTTTTTTTAATTTTTTTTAATGTTTATTTTTGAGAGAGAGAGACAGAGACAGAGACAGAGACAGAGACTGAGTGTGAGCAGGGGAGGGGCAGAGAGAGGGAGACACAGAATCCAAAGCAGGCTCCAAGCTCTGGGCTGTCAGCACAGAGACCGACGCGGGGCTCGAACCCACAAGCCGTGAGATCATGAACTGAGCCAAAGTTGGACGCTTACCTGACTGAGCCACCCAGGTGCCCCGAGAAATTTAGGTTCTAAATGGCTTAAAGAAACCATATTAGGTATTTAAAAACTATGTAAAATGAATGTAGTTTTTACATATTTTACAGTATCATACTGAGTTACATAAAGCAGATAAAAAATAACCATGTTCTTAGCTACTCTATTTCTTATGAAAAGCTTAATAAGTATGTATTTCTATTAATGTTACTAACAGAGGCAGGCATCATTCTAAGTAATTTTAGGTAAACTAGTTTATCTAAACTAGCTGACAATACCTATGCAAAATCATTATTATAAATATTCCATTTTATTAAAATTTTTTTTCCATTTGCAGAGATAACTGACATAACATCATATAAGTTTAAGGTGAATAATATAATGATTTGATATATGTATATTGTGGAATGATTATTTTTTTATTTATATATGAAATTTATTGTCAAATTGGTTTCCATACAACACCCAGTGCTCATCCCAAAAGGTGCCCTCCTCAATACCCATCACCCACCCTCTCCTCCCTCCCACCCCCCATCAACCCTCAGTTTGCTCTCAGCTCTCAACAGTCTCTTATGCTTTGGCTCTCTCCCACTCTAACCTCTTTTTTTTTTTTTTTTTCCTTCCCCTCCCCCATGGGTTCCTGTCAAGTTTCTCAGGATCCACATAAGAGTGAAACCATATGGTATCTGTCTTTCTCTGTATGGCTTATTTCACTTAGCATCACACTCTCCAGTTCCATCCACGTTGCTACAAAAGGCCATATTTCATTTTTTCTCATTGCCACGTAGTATTCCATAGTGTATATAAACCACAATTTCTTTATCCATTCATCAGTTGATGGACATTTAGGCTCTTTCCATAATTTGGCTATTGTTGAGAGTGCTGCTATGAACATTGGGGTACAAGTGCCCCTATGCATCAGTACTCCTGTGTCCCTTGGATAAATTCCTAGCAGTGCTATTGCTGGGTCATAGGGTAGGTCTATTTTTAATTTTCTGAGGAACCTCCACACTGCTTTCCAGAGCGGCTGCACCAATTTGCATTCCCACCAACAGTGCAAGAGGGTTCCCGTTTCTCCACATCCTCTCCAGCATCTATAGTCTCCTGATTTGTTCATTTTGGCCACTCTGACTGGCGTGAGGTGATATCTGAGTGTGGTTTTGATTTGTATTTCCCTGATAAGGAGCGACGCTGAACATCTTTTCATGTGCCTGTTGGCCATCCGGATGTCTTCTTTAGAGAAGTGTCTATTCATGTTTTCTGCCCATTTCTTCACTGGGTTATTTGCTTTTCGGGTGTGGAGTTTGGTGAGCTCTTTATAGATTTTGGATACTAGCCCTTTGTCCGATATGTCATTTGCAAATATCTTTTCCCATTCCGTTGGTTGCCTTTTCGTTTTGTTGGTTGTTTCCTTTGCTGTGCAGAAGCTTTTTATCTTCATAAGGTCCCAGTAATTCACTTTTGCTTTTAATTCCCTTGCCTTTGGGGATGTGTCGAGTAAGAGATTGCTACGGCTGAGGTCAGAGAGGTCTTTTCCTGCTTTCTCCTCTAGGGTTTTGATGGTTTCCTGTCTCACATTCAGGTCCTTGATCCATTTTGAGTTTATTTTTGTGAATGGTGTGAGAAAGTGGTCTAGTTTCAACCTTCTGCATGTTGCTGTCCAGTTCTCCCAGCACCATTTGTTAAAGAGACTGTCTTTTT